ACCCGAAGTACTATGTTCTACCGCTATAAGGCTGAGGAGATTGTCGGCGTGGCTCAGTAACGTTTGGACGGGCGCATTGTCGAAAACTTTCGCATTCCAGTCGTACGTGTAAATCCTGGCATCTGTGACGGCAGCCGGTAGCATATCGCTATCCTGCAGCCAGTTCACAATGCGGCTGGCTCACCCCCGTTTTATTTGAGTATATCTGATCATTAAATAGAGACTTCTGCGTATATGGTGTATCTATCCATCCCCTAGAAGACGCGGGCCGCCTTTCGAACCTAATTACTGGCGTTGCTTCTATCCAAGCCCAGGATCTGATCTCCATCAGAATGGCGCCATCAAGGAGATAGGACCAGGTTCAAACTCTCCAGGCAAAAGTATTGCCGTTAGTAAGTCGCGTTTCCGGGGCCAGATCTTGACCGATATTGACCATTGCTTAGCACGCGGCGAACCTTCATTTGCTAGCCAAATCCGTAATGAAGTAATTCGGAACGCGTCAATGGAATTCGTTGAAGTGGAGTATCGCCCAACGTCACAAGAAGTTCACACGTGGAGACGGCGTCGTGATTTGGAGAGTGCAAATTGATAAGCAGAACAGTCCTAAACCGGCTTCGTCGGGCAGAAAGGACCTGAATCATGCTATTGTTGCTTTATCTGGTTGTATTGATATAGATTAACGGCTATCCCCGTGGACGATCACTTGCTAGTCATGGATACGGGGGGGTAGTGGGTGAAACCAATACTCTCCTGAGCAAATCATTTCGCCGTGTAAGTGACAAGTGACACGTTCGTTTCGATTGCGAGGGTTGCATTAAATGCTCGGGATAGTAGGATACGGCAATTTCTGCATGAAGAGGAGGGGTTTGCCTGATCCCTTGCGAGAATACCGCCCGGACTCCTTGGCGAGAAAGTCCGATCCCGTGCAGATACAGACTGGCCGATGGCCTTTCCTTGCGCACTATCAAGTATAAATCTGCCATGCCCGAATCACTCCTCTACACATCAAACTACTCATCAACCTCACCCCAGAAAAAACTGTTTACCGCATACCAAACCTTTAAGGTTAGTCAACTGCTACGAGTATTTCCCATTTTACTAATTACATCTCCATAATATTCAGCATGGACGTGACAAATGCCATGATGGACTCGGTGTCAACAAGCATGACCTCAGCATGCCGAGCGTTCGGTTGCAACGAAACCGGTATCGAAAAGGGCAAGAAATGCCCAAAGTGTGGCTGGGAGTAATTGATTGGGAAGGCGCTTACACTGTACCTTGGGAATTGAGTGATGCTCCTTTGTTTCTGAAAACGGTACCTCGCCTCCTCAACTTACCAGAACAATATGATAAGGCAGGTTGGCCACTGGATAAAGATGAAATAGGGAGATGGGAAGATGAAAGAACTTATTCGACAATGGTGCAAGAAGCCGAACAAAATGTTCGCACAGACAACAAACTGTCTCGAATGCTTATCAATAGGGATATTCAGGACTTAGCTGGTATTATCTATCTGTTCATGCAAGGCAAAATGGGCTTCTACGGCAAGGCTTTAGACTATTTTGAGAGTAGGACATGATTTATTATAGGTGTACCTAGGTAATTAGGTAATCATAATTATTAGGTGGCTTGGTTACTTATGAATAATAAATTTATTAAATTAAGCTCAATGCGAATCATTTTAAAGGCGCTGTAGGTAGCTGCTGTAGGTGCTGCTGCAGTTATAGGTGCTGGAGTTATAGGTTCTGTAGGTGCTGCTATGGGTGCCAGTATTAAAGCCCTGGGTACTTAAAGGGATAAGCGCTATTCTTTTTTCTAAGAAAAAAACCGCTCTCCGAAAAGACAGTGGGGAACTAATTCACACAGTTAACGGAGAATTTTTATTGGTTTGCCCCGCATAACCGCTCTCCATCCCCACCCTAACTACCAATTCTCCGTTAAAGTAGAAAGGTAGCAGAGGCTGCTCCACTTAGTAGTCCACACGGTTAGGACCCCATATTAAAATCTAACTGTCGGATAAAGTAGGAATCGTGGTAACTAGCATATTAGGAAAGCGGTAACGAATTAAGTAGGCGGTGACGGGTTGAGGTGGCGATGGATTGGGAAGGCGGTGTCGAATCCGGTAGGCGGTCTCATAGAGGCTAAACCGTTTAGGTAGGCGGTGTCGGTTTTGGTAAGCGGTAAGCGATCTTTGATGTGGGTGGTTGACTCGGGTAGGCGGTGTGGAATTGGGCAAGCGATATTGGGTCCTATCTCAGATCCAGAAGGACCTAGGGAAAGACTTAGAGGTTAAACAGAACCTAAAGAGATAATAATCTTGAATATAGGCCTTACCCCCTTTCTCACAATGAGCCAGCGTTATCTCTTTTAATTCTTGATTGCCAGGACTGGGAGCAGCAGGTGGACCAAATATGTATGTATGCATTCAACGTGGGGGACATCACTTATTAGGCCAAACCACGCCTCCCAGAGCCAGTGCATCGCATGGATATGGAAGTGTCTATCTGGGTTCTGTCAGATCTACTATATTTAGACTAATAACTGAAGAACGAGTGACTAGATACAGTAGGAAATCCATTCCTTATATACTCATTCTTTCCTTCATGTAATTGTTCTGGATCGACTCGATCGCTTTCTCAAAGCTCGACTCAGTCGACTCAGTCGATTCACTTTCTTCGGATAATTGTTATTCATTCCGATCCTTTCCCATAAAGGCAGAGCACCAGCTTTTTGAACTTCTCCAATTAGGACATAACAAGAGGTTAATCGCAAATTCATTACTATAAGCCTAGAGTCTAACACTTTGAAAATGTCATATGGAAGGGTTTCTTACCCAAGATATTAAGATATTGGTTAATAGGAATGTGGCCAAGGAGATCTGCAGTTAAATGGATTAAAGGATAGTCAATAGGATTATGGCAAATGCCAGATGTCTAAAATATATATCGATATCCTTTGTATATAAATAGAAGAAATTCCTATCATCAATAAATGGAGGGAATAATATACAGCACAGCCCCCAAGACCATTATGAATTATATCTTACATATTATATAATAAGTCTATTAAGATTATATCCAATAAAAATAATTAGATAGTTAGGTACATCATTATAGAAGTTATACAGAGCATTTATAAGGTCCTTTCCATAAAGATAAAGACATATTTTGGGGACATTTGCATGCCACCTCGACTCGTAACTGTAGACCATAATTCGCGCGTTAGGTACGATGGCAGGAAGCATCTCGAGATCTTTCAGCCAATGCACAGGCGATTGTCGCCCACTTTTGTCCTGCCAAATCCACGACCAAACTACATTCAAGCCGAGACCATGCACAGCAACAATGCTAGATCGGGGGGAGGGAGGTTAGGTTCGTAGAGCGGGAAGGGGCTCAGGAAGATTCACTTGACTTTCACCGGCTCCTCAGCAGCATCGGTAGGTATATGCTTATATCGATTCTTCGCTATTGGTCTAGCCACAATAAGCCATCAATTCATGGAATCCGGGTACTGTCAAAATGGGGTTAAGGCAATATATTGAGTAACTATAATCTTTTTACGATCTGCGTGCCGTATCCTCCTTCCCTCAATCTCTCAGGGAGAAGCTACTCTTCTTTATGCTGTTGACAGTAGTACATGATATTCAGTACAGCTTCCTTTCTTAGATACGAGGTTGCTAAGAGCTGTGTTGGTGCCTTATGTATATTACAGCGCCTACAGCGCTTCCTTTGAGCCTATCATCTTTCATCCATACATGTGTTGGTGATGGCTTCCTATCAGGATGATACAGGTGTCATAACAGGTACAGACGCGTCGCCAACGATGGAAAAACAACACAACAAGTTGCTTCTGCTTTTCGTGGTCTCGTATCGATGGGGGAACTTGGAATGGAGCCACCAAGCATCCAGGTACGTCGTCCCGTCCACCGCGTGGCATTCGTACGTGGAACTAAGTCAACGCGCAGGTACCTCCATTCTCCATCGTAGGTCCTCTCGCCACGGCCGGTCTGATCATCTTCTGGTTTTGTTCCATCTTTGTATATAATTACGTGGTGACGATGGCGTATAAAAAGAAACGGTTCCGCAATATTAAATGTAATCCAGGAGGACTTTAAACTACTCATTTATCTACTGATTCACATTCAAATACAATCAACTACCTAATAAATGTTTATTAATCTTATTAATTACTTCAGTAATTATAATAAATACCATTTTAAAGCAAGATAATTTAAGAAAAAAGGATTCCTGATACGTACCTATACATCTTCCTATATCGTAATCTTTACCCCTCTTTAGCTACAATATATGTTCCAAGGTTAGCCAATACCCAATCAACCAATTAGCTAGTAATAGCTTCGGATAAACACTAAATCGTAGCCTAGATCTATATCAATAAAATTCATTATATCGCTAGATATAAAATGAACTATCTAGGCTTGTTTACTAGTTTGCCCCGCGATTTTAGCTTCCTAGTCTTCTTTAAACCCATCCCACTTTCGTCGTAACTTGTTAGTATATCAGCACAAAACACACCCTACACCGGCACCTGTGGCAATCGCCCATAATGGGGCCCAATGGTATGCCCCATATTCACCCGTTAACGCTAGCAACGCACTGATGATCACCATCGCCATCTGGTACAGAAACACGATCACGTTTAGGACTTAGGAAGATTGTCCCCGCCGAAGACGTTCCCGATAATACCACTGTCGAGTACGTTCCCCACCACCGAAGACGAGTCCCGCTAACCGCGATTATAAGATACGCAGTTCGGTGTGGAGCCATCGTTGCTGAGAGTTATCTTCGAGGATCCAAAACAAGTCAACCTTGCGCGTCTTGCCTCTATGAAGTGTACGGCTAGAAGGAGCGCCCATCCGTTGTCGGTCGTCGTGTAATCGCCTTCCCGCTAAGTGTAGCGCGTGTGGAAGAACTCCAACGATACCCGGACCTTTCGCGGTTAATATAACATTCTCATACTCCTGGAGACTTAGGTTTTGCTCATAAGGCCCGTCCAAAAATGTCTTGCGAAAGCCTCCATCTCGTTCCGCTATGTTGGAGATAGTACCTCTTCGGTGCATGAGGAATAAGAGCTCAGACGAATAGCCTGAACCTTCTGCGTCGGCAACATTCCACCACGCCACATTCATTGGATACCCCCGGATCATGAAGCGGAAAGGGGCGAAGGGGAAGTAGAGGTAGAAGTAACATCCTGGATATACTTTCAGGGGTCGTCGAAGTTGAACCTGCATCCGAAGGGCTTCTTTGCCTTGCCACACGTTTACAATATTTAAACCATAATATAGGCTGCGAAAGAATCTGAAAAGGGTGGTGAGTATCCAGAAGCCAGATGCGGAATAAATAGTGACCTTTGAAAATAAGTGGTCAATTAGGCGAATGTGCCAGATCAATGTGCCTAAGGCTAGAAGTGAAAAGACAACATGCACTTTCAAAAACAGACCATAATGTATCCGTCGCACAAACCACAAAGATAAGATAGTAAGGGTGACAAGAGCGGATCCAACCTGCTAATTATGAGCCAATGTAAGAAAGTATCGGGATCTCACATACGATATAGCCTGATACAGATATATCATTGTTGTTCTTGGAAAAGGATAACCCAAAATGAATTAGCGCTTCTTAACGTAGCGATTCTTCCGAACCAATGGTGACCAAAGTAATAAGTCGAAAATGGCAGCCCAGAAAAACCGATCAATGGGTTGGTTTTCCCCCCTAGAAACCCCCAAGAGGATGAGAAGAGATATTAAGCCAAGACGAGTAAGGTTATCGGTATGTTCCTTGCGATCCCAGATCAACGGGTATAAAATATGACTCCTTAAAAATTGAGTACATCTCGCCGTAAGAGTCAAGCAGACTCGACGACAAATGATAAGAACAATAAACGCCACGAGGGCAACACCGTATAAAATTGCTACTTCCATAGTCACATACCTAGGGAACACTGGAATTATTATTGCTGGTTACAGTACTTAAATCTACGCTCGGATTTGATAAGACGATTTTCTGAACTAGCAGGAAACAGATTTCTGAACCCTGTATGTTCATTAGCCGCGCGGGTGTAATGTTTCTAAAAGGGGATAGCGCTAACTTAACCGCGCAGTCGCGCTGCGGGCGACTAATCGCATGCTCACAAAGCAATATATAAAGGCAACTTTACATCACACAAATTTTAGCAAGGCAAACACCCAAATGACTCGAGAAGGAGATTCAAAAAATCGCAGGTTTGGCTTAGCCAAAAAGGCTGACGCCTATAGTCGGCTTTTCGCGGCAAATACCGCCGTCATCATTGAAGATCAGGGGCAGTTCTATTTATACACGTCATGTCCTAAATTTGTTCCCGAATTACTCGCTACACTGAATGTCCGTGCGGAGAATAAATTTGAGCCTGGTACCTTCGAGTCCGTGAGCGATTTAAAAAAACGGAGCCCTTCACCTTCACTAGGCTCAGAGTCTTCCTCGACCCTAAGTTCGCAGAATCGACAAGAAACCCCATTAGCGAATCCAACAACGTCTCTCAACCCACGACGAAGACCCTCGCCTCACAAAAATGGAAACAAGCACATTAAAGGAACAAACGCTTTACGAAAAGCGCCCCAGCGACTTCGGGCAAGTGGCGCAGTTGGTCGCTTACTAAAGTCGGATTACTTTAAATAATGTTATTACGGCGGTCCAATAAGATAAAACCGCCAATGCGCCAAAATGCCGTGCGAATATACAGATGTGCTGAAGCCCTCTGTATTTACAGGGCTCTACAGCGCATCTCCCACTACAAATTCAGCGACTAAATGTATGGCGCCTACATCCCTAATAGCGTCTCACAATGCTTTAAGCCTTATAAAGCCCTATAGCTACAGCGCATTGCAGCTTTCAATGCACTATAAGTGCGCTGTAGGGCCTCAAGCGCTATACTGCTTTTATAACACTTCAGCACCCTACTAAAATGCCCTAATATTTACAGCGCTTATAGCCCTGTAGCATGGTGCGAAGCGCTATATTGTAACTTGTATTATGGCGCATTGGCGGGTTTTCGGAAACGGCGCACGGTTATTATTATTAAAGGTGGAACTGGAATTGGATGTTTTGTTATTTTAATTTTATTATATGTTACCTACCTAGGTATTAAAAAATAAAACTTTATATATAAAAGGTATCCATGGATAACTGTCAAACTAAATTTACAAGGCTATTAGTGCCGTAATTACAGCGCATTTCAGTGGGGTGCTAAGACGCGCTGTAAGTGTGCTGTAAACTTAGGGCTCTATAGGGCTTCAGAGTACTACAATTATAACACATTATAGCACCCCACTGAAATGCGCTGTAATTATAGCGCCTTATAGGTACCCACTGTATTGCGTTGTAGGTAGTTACAGTACCTAGGTAGACTACAACGCTCCTATATTTATAACACACTTACAGCACGTCTCAGCACCTCACTATAACACGCCGTAAATACGGCACATTACAGGGGCTACCTATAAAGCGCTGTATTTATAGGGGCGTAAGCACTATAGATCCAACCACTATAATTATAGCGCATAAGCCCCTATAGCCTCCTGTATTTACAATGGGCTTCAGCGCATGACTCCCTGTAATTACAGTAGAAAACGCCATTACATTAACTTATAAGGAGCTAGGCGCTGAAGTGCGCTATTACAGGAAGCTACAGGGCTTCAAGCCCTGTAAGTATAGTGCTCAACTAAGATACGCTATAAGGCCGCTATGGAGACGCTATAAATACAGCGCTCTACAGGGCTTCGAGCGCTATAAATATAGCGCAACATAAGTGCTCACTATGATGCGCCGTAATTACAGGACCACTTCAGCGGGATAGAGCGCTGTATTTATAGGGGGTGAGCGCTATAAAATCTGTCACTAATTCTACCTAGGTACGACGGAACATGCGCTGTAGGGTCCTAAAATTACAGGGGCCTTTAGTGTATGACTCCCTACCTAGGTATACAATATATTACGCCTCCCTTAGCACGATGGTTTGGCGCATTGGCGGTTTTATGCTTATTGGACCGCCGTAGTATTGCAATCTGATTTCAATTTAAACGCTTATATATAGTCTATAACCACTCTATCGGGTTGTGCTTCGTGATGTACTATTTCGTGATGTACTACTTCGTGGTGTGCCACCTGCTTCATCGTTTTACAAAGAGCAGTCAGTTCATTTCCTAAATGCAGCTCGCTTTGATCCCAATCCTCTTCAAACCAGTCTATATTCGATTCCTGAGGGTCTTGGTAGTTTGGGTGCCAAAGGTTATCGATGCCTTGATCTCGAATTAGGTCCCTAACCCGGTAAGGAGATTGAGTGACTGCAAAGACTGATGAGCCTTTCCTTAGGACTACATCAATCGTCGAGTCCAAAGAAACAATGTGGACATCGAACGTCGATGGTGGAAATCCTGTATTATTCCTTGAGTCCGTACGCAATCGACGTGTGCTGTACCGGTCAGTATCGCATCTGTACCGAATTTCAGCTCCCTCCAGCTTTTTTTGTAGACTGACGCAAGCTGGCCCCGAAGGAACGCAGCACATGAGACGTACGCGAATAGTAGACGAGTAACACCTTGGCAGTTCGGTTAATTCGATATAAAACAGGGTCCCAACTATTTGATTAGCAATAGCTTGTAAATATTCATTGCCGTACATTTCTCCATTGTACTGGACTGTAAGGTTCTGAGGAGAGCTTTGACTAGTTAGTTACCAGGCGGATAATAATGGGTTTTCAGACAAACCGTTCTTTGTAATATTGAGTGATAGTATTGGAATAACGCTTCCCCTTGTGCTGTATATTGACCGATGCTCCGACGTGCGATTGAATTTCCTCGACGCACCACTCGTCTCTACCAAATACCACACGTTCAGGCTTTTTGAAGTATCCTCCTTTAGCACGTATGCCTTCAACATTCCTCGCGCCTTTCATACTGGAGCACGCTCCAGCTACGCAAGTACATTCCAAGGGCGTAATAGGCTCCAACCCCTTGGCCGTAAATCGTCTCAAAGTAGTCGCGCAAAGGAACTGAAGCCAATCCAATACAAGATTGCAAGTCCTTTAAAAAAATAGCCAAGCAAGATCTTGTTGGATATAGGGACATCTAGGATAAGAGTTCGTCTAGCAGCCGTCGGCGGTCGGAGGAATACCATGCGCGTATTGATGGCTTGGCAAAGGGGGCAACGAGGGATCTCAAATCGGCATGGTTCGTAAACGGGGCCTATGGCCCGAACGCACCGCTCACACACACCGTGCCCGCATGTTAAGACGGTGCAAAATTGCCTAGCTAAGCAGATAAGACAGGAGGCCTTACTGAACTTGTTTCCGAAGAAGCTCGATTTCTTCAAAGAGTCCAGATGGTGACTAAATGCCGACTTGCCTTCCTCCTCGGTTAGGATCGCTATATCGTAGAATGTTTGCTCGATCTCCTTCCCCAGAAAGTTGAGGTCCGGGGTTCGGAATAGAGGCTCAAGGTCCTTTCGGTAAATAGCGTCATATATCGGCGAAAAACCCTAATAATAATCAGCCCAAATATCGAACTTACATAGAAGGAAACCTACGATGCCCGCACTCGGGATAAGCATCTGCAACAAGGGCTGAAGCGACAACTTTGCTTAGCTCAGCGTATTGGTCCTTTCTGGTCATACTTCACAATCCCTCGATATGGTCTTTGTAACTCTTTTTGCTATCGCAACCCCTAAAAGCTAGGACGATGTTAAACGTTTCCGTTCGGCGCAGGGAAAAGTGTATTATTGCTGACTTAATGATCCGCTGTAAGTGAGAGGCTGAAAACACCCATTTTGACGCAAGTCTTCGAGCGATCATATCTTCATTGTGTTTGAATATCAAATTCGTGACTCCAGGATAGTCGGGGATTAGTTGGATACTTTCAAAACACTTCTGACACATCTCTATCGAGTCAGCCTTTGTATGAGGTTTCGTCGGGTCTATTATGTGTTGTAGCTTTGTAAGATAACGTAGTAGTCTATCGAAGAATAGCTGTGGGTCGCCTTTCTTGTTAAATGCGTTGCTAATTAAAAGAAGGCGAGGTCTGTATCTTATATCGAGACAAGAAAAGCGAATCCAAGGAGACAATAATTCAAAAACGCTTGAGAAATCGGAGAAATCGTCCACAAATATGACAACAGTCTGGCTTATAATCCCTAGCAATCGGGAAAATAACTTGATAGTCGAGTCGAACGAAGTCGGAACTGAGTTACCGTTTTGTATCCAATGAAATTTTGAGCCATCGGCAACCCCAACACGTCTCAAAGGCTTCGGTGGCCAAGCTGAATCGATGATGAGAATTGGCCTCTCTTGGATCCGGGCCTGGTGAAGGTTGATCGCGTCATTCTCCTCATTGTCTACGGAAAGATTATGAAGTATTTTCTTCTTGGAAGTGTTCCCAATCATATGAATTATTCCGGGGACTCCATCTTTAAGTGTATCAATAGACGAATAAGCTGAGCAGAATTCTTCCGAATAGAGTTGATGGGGCACCGTCGAAGTGATCGCGAGCCGAAGCCAAGGTGCCATTTTTTTCAATGATGGTCTAGCAGATTTAGGGAAGCGAGGGCATTATAAAATAGTGAGGAAGACAGGAAACTGAATTTTGTACATACTCAAATTTCTAGGGGACCCAAAATCCGTTTTCTGAGCCACCCACTCTATAAATGGCGACAAGAAATTTCGTCTGGGTTTTTTTTTTTTTTTTTTTGGCGTCGCCACGCATCATGAGTTCACGAACACGTTCCAAAATCCCAAAGGATGGCGAGGCTAGTAGCAGTACGAACCCATTTGCCCTATCCGAATATCAAGCCTGGGCCGCTACTGAAACTAGACGCCGAGGCACTACATAAATGAAACGTACACTCTGTGTTGGGTATGCTCGACCAGAGTCACTCTCTGCTTATTGTGTACAATCGTAATCGCTGCAACCAGTCTTCTCTTAGAAGGGTTGAGGGGGTCTCGCACAACCTCAAAAGCGACTTGTCCATAAGTGAGATTCATCACCTCCCCAGGCCGAAACCCTCCGATACCAGCGACGAGAACGGCGCCATGAAAGGCTATGCGTGTCTGTGGAGTGCAGGGGATGTGCCTTGCTTCTTTCCAAAGCGTCCCAAGTAAGACCATTATATCTTCCGGCGTCATTTCCTTCTTCTCGAAGGTCTGTCGGCGGGTAAGATTGTGTTCTATAGACGCCCCTTCCCCGATCCACTGAGGAATAAGAATGAGCATGATGCGAAGTCGGCAATCGTGGCGGGCTCACCTTGAAAATTTCATACAAAGGCCCATGGCGGCGTTTTTTCGCAAATAAAGACCACTTGTCCCTATTTGCAGGATCTTCCCTCCTCTTCCGCTGAAGGACGCCAGCTTCGGCTTTCCCAATCAGTGTTTTCCACATATTCTCAGTTGAAACGGCCGAATTGAGGCCCCGTATCTTCTTATATTCTTCGGGTCCGAGGCAGGGTCGTTCGAAGGTAGAATTCTCGATGTACATGGCAAAAAACTCGCGTATATAGTATGAGACATCATCACCCTCACAGAGGCTAATCCAAATACTATCGGGATCGATATCATGAACATCTTGAAAGTAACTACAACACACGTTAGTTGGTATTAACAATATATGAAGAGCGCATACATCGTCCAAGCATCCCATAAGCGATCTCGTTCCAACTAGGTCTTTGGGGCGACTACGCGAGAGTCACTCAAGGGCTAGCTCCTGAATTTCTGGCGAGCTTCTTCGCCTCGCTGTCGCTATAGTTCTAGGTTGCCGGCGATTGCGCGTCCGAACCGCGACTTTACTAGACGTTCAGAAGTCACAGATCTTTTAGAGGGTTCTAGCGACATTCTTCCAGGGGAAAGGAGAGTAAATAAAAAGAAAGGGCGATTGGAGAGGGTGAGGAAGTATCAGAATTCGAGAAAGTAAAGGAGGGAAGAAGGCGTTATAAATGACGCGTATATGATACATTACGCATATTTATAGAGCAAATAGTGGTTGAGCATGGGTGAGATCCTGATCTTGCAAAATCAACTTCCAAATGGAATACAATTTTTAGTTTTTGATGCTCAATAGAAATGTACGTGTCGGACAAATTCGGTATCCACACAATGTTGTATGGGCTATATTAATATACTGTTTACAGAGATTTTGCGGGAAATTCACACTTAAAGAGAATATTAGCCACATTACATGTATCTAAGTAGGTAGGTTTACCCGGGGTATACCCAGGTGCAGTACCTAGGTACCTAGATCGATGCCGGGTGAACCTGTCTTAGGGAATTAGATAAACAATCATAAAACCTTCTGTCGATATCAAACATAGCAATATCAAACATAGTGACCTAAATCTTTAATATTAATGATATTAAAGATTATAAACAGAACACACAGTCATAAAATATTAACACATTGTGTCTCTTCATTCATCGGTTACAGTTACATACAATATTTTAACATAATTTAACTTTAATCTTATTGGATAATGGATACTCAGGTAAGAATCCATGCAGCTATTTTCAACTTCATTATCAACCAAATCCGGCAGCGTCAAATCCCACTACGTTTTCTCTGTACCGCTAAGTCGGTAGTTAGGGTGGGGCGGAGAGCGGTTTTGGCTGATTAACGTGCACGTGACTAGTACGTATGAGAAAGTTCGCTTGATCAGATATTGGAAACCGCATTCCGTTTAGGACTCGAAGTCTCGCATATTCAACCACAAATTAACGACGTCACCCCCGTCCGCTCAACCGCAAGTCGACAATGCCCCCCCAGTCGCCCAACAGCTGTTTCGTAAGTGACCTTGCAAGTCTAAGATCACGATGCTATTGGCTGTGCGTGCCTTATAAAGCAGCACCCAGGCCGCTCGCTCATCTCCAAACACCCACCGACTTTGTTTCCCCTCTATCTAGTACCATACTACGCAGATTGTTATAATGACACTTTTAGAAGCGAGGGACACGCCCGACCCTTCGGCGCACTTAGGAAAGTCGCGGTTCGGACGCGCACTCGCCAACAACCTAGAGTTACAGCAACAACAAGGCGAAGAAGCTCGTCAGAAATATAAGGGCCAGCTCTTGCGGGGTTCTCGCCTAATCTGTCCGAAAACCGAGACAGAACGGGAACGTCTGTGGGATGCTTGGGCTGTGTACGCTTACCCATCTCTACCCTCCTTACATAGCAGCACTCACTGACGCTCAGCGGCGCCGCAGCTACTTCCGAGATGTTCAAGGGATCGACCTTGACAGTATCTGGATCTCCCTCTGCGAGGGCGCCGGTGTTACCAGATATATCCGCGAATTCTTCGCTATGTATATCGAGAATTCTACCTTCGAACGACCCTGCCTCGGGCCAGAAGAATACAAGACGATACGGGGCATTAAGTCGGCTGTCTCAATTGACGGAATGTGGAAAGATCTGATTGCGAAGGCTGAGGCTAGCGTTCTTAACCGAAAGAGGAGGGAAGATCCGTTAAATAGGAATAAATGGACTATAGTGACAGGCAAACGTGCTCGCGGACCTATCTACGAAATTAGCAAGGCCCGGCCCCAGTATTGTCGTTAATTCCGCATCATCATTCCCATGTCTAATTCTTGCAGTGGATCGAAGAAGGCGCATCCGTGGAACATAACCTTACTCGCCAACAGACCTTTGAGAAGAAGGAAATGACGCCAGAAGATGTTATGATGCTACTTGGAACGTTGTGGAAACAGGCCAGGCACATTCCCAGCACCGCACGAACACGCCAGGCCTTTCATGGCGCCGTTCTCGCTGCCGCTATCGGAGGGTTCCGTCCTGGAGAGGTGATGAACCTTACTTATAGGCAGGTTGCTTTTGAGCTTGTGCGGGACCCGCTAGACTCGTCTAAGAGAAGGTTGGTTGTATCAATCACGATCCGCCACAACAAACAGCAGGAGAATGTGATCCAGCGGAGCCAGCACAGATTGTAAGTCTCATCAGGAGTCCAGCTTATTTTTTTTAATTTTTTTTTCAATGACTGACTGTTGGTACAGGGTCGCCTTCTCTATTACAGTGATCCCTTGTAAACCTATTTGCCTAGCTAGCCTGTTGGCAGCCCGGGCGATCACTGACCGGGCCTTTGACGCAAATTTCCATTCTCTTGATGATATGCTCAACCGGCCCGAACTTGGTGATCTGGATTCTTTGCCTTTGAATTGGGCGCTCGGTGTCGAGGACAAGCAAATACTCCCTATTTGCTATCCGACGTATTGGGATATGTGGAATCGGACGCTTCAGGTTTGCAGCCTGCGGGATGACAAGCAACGACCTTACTCCCTTCATGTCGGTGCTGGAAGCCGACTCTCTAGTGAGTCTCCGCAACCCCGCATGAAGCCGAAGCTAATATCCAGCGTCTTCAGGTAGTCTTGGGGAGCCAGTGCGGAATAACACGTACTAGGGAACACCCGCGACGTGTTCCTCAAAAGCTACCAAGCACGCCATGTCGCCCACGACTTGGTCCAGATTGCGTTTGGTCAAAGTCTACCGGAGAGCAATGGCGCCCTTTTTAATTCCTTACGGCGCTCCTTCCTACAGCGAGACCCTGATGCTCCACTTTACCCTACCGAAGCGGACCTAAGAGCATTCGAGGAGCGGCAGGACATCCGTGATCTTCGTGCCCAGTACCAGCAGGTCGCGACGGAGAAGTCGGCAGATCATCCGGATGCGAAAAAGATAGCAGCCAAGATCCACTGTATTAGACACACCCTGTCTAAAGAGCTACTTGAGAAGAGGAGAACAGAGTGGTTTCGTGACTCGGACAAGCTTCGGGCATCTGGGAAGGCGGTTTCTAAGGCACCTGATCACGATGTTAATCCGTTCAAGCCCTTCGACCCGAACGGTGCATCGGCCGCCGAAGCGATCGGTCAGTTCATGCAACTAGACGAGAGCGAGTATGAGCAGGGAGCCATCAGGCTTGTCGATGTGTACTCAGCATACCTTCGAAGACGGCCTACTGAGGTTGCTGCACTGCTTGATACGATCAAAAAGGACGAAGGTTGCACCCAAACTGATAACGCTCTACAGGAAACTATCAAGTAGTGAAGCTCCCCACCGGTGTTTATTTGGCTGTCGTAGATTCCCTAACCGCGGGAATCTCACTAGGCACAACAAAAGGGTGCACTTCGACAAGGGCGACTTCGATCGGCCTTTTCCGTGCCCGGAATGTCGCCGCTTAGGCAGCCCGGAGTACATGATTGTGGGGCCGATGCACTGGAGTAATCACGCCGAAACAGCCCACGGCCATGCGCATGCCCCTGACATGCCTACTGGCCTGGAGGTCAGGCCAGATATTCTCTTAGTCGATGTGAGCTTCGGCCCGGAGAATGGGCGCTGTCATATATGTGATGACATTTTTAGAAATGCCGGTGGCTTCGTTAGACATTTCAGAGTCATACACCTAGCGAAGCAGAACTTGTTTGAGGCGGTGTTTTCCTGCCCCGAATGCGTGCGCGAAAAAGTCGAGCCTACCCGCATTGATAATGTAACTAAATGGCAGGCTCATTTGGTTGACGCTCATCAAGGCGGCGGTCTGTTTGGCCCACTACATTCCCTACGCGAGCCACGACGACAACGACAAAAGCGCTCCCGGTCTACCGTCGCCGCCGAGTTCGCTCAAGGAGTTGAAATGCCCACATTTGGGTCGGTAGATTGGCCTCCTGAAGGTTGGTTTATGACACAATACACCAAAATGGTTGATATAGAATTAAGGAGTATGTCACAAACTGGTTTAGGGACAACCAATTGAGCCATAAAGCAAACGCTTCCCAGTGACCAATTGGTCACTGTTCCTCAATTCTGTATTATATGTGTTACCCCGCAGTCTGGAACGTAACAAAAAGGGAACCGAGAACTGTCTTTGGGATATTTAAAAGAGATATATAAGTATTGAAAATAAATAAACAAATAAACATAACCTTTAAGAAATAATGGATTAAAGGTTATAATATATTAAAAAAGTATATTTTATATAAACTATAATAAAAATTATATATTTAATATTATCATTTATATAGGTTCCTTTAGGACATTATTTTATATTAGCGGCCTAAGCATATATATAGGATATTTTACGGTTTATAATAATCCATTTATTGGGGCTCTTTAAGATATTAAGGGCCTTAAATATCTGGTTAATGCCAAGGTATAAGCCCAAAAGAAGGTCCTTGGAAAATATATAAATATTTCTATAAAAGTTTATCATTTTTTTGAAATCCCGCTTTATTTTATTCGTCTTTCTCATGCACAACTTATTTTTTAATATTAAGGTATATAAATGTGCCTATCATGGAATTACATTTGACAAAGCTGGTTTTATTCTACTTGATAGTTGAGGCTTTCAGTCTTATATTAACCCCTATTACTCATCTCTCCTCTTACAATTCCTTAACCCCAAGACTGCCGCTACAACAGGACGACACCTGTGGAAATCCCTCCAACAATATTTCAAGCACGAAGACATCCCCTGAAGCACTACCCACAAGCAGTCGTGATATATTTAAAATACCAGCCTCTACTCGAAATGAAACGTCAAAATCTTACATACACCATACAACAGAGAGTACTTTCGTCAGCATACATGTCGCCTCACCTCCCCCCCTAACGTCGACAAGGAGCCAGAATGAGTCCAATTCGATAAAAAGTGGAAGCTTTTCTAACATCGCTAGCATACCGACGTCTTGTATATCTTGTCCTTCAGCAAGTGCAAGAAGCAAGGAAACGTCCACATCGCAGAGTTTATTAGTGGGAACAAGTACCATAACCGACTGGGTCACCTTCCGAAAGCCTGATGTGACAAGCACAATTGTCGTATGGGTGACCGCCGGTGGTAATGTTTGAGAGATGTGCTAGATAGAGAGTGTAAAAATGGCGTATTTGCGGTGTTTGCGGAGTGTTCACGAAGACTTTTATCTAATAGCAGCTATTCACCTTAATAAATAAATATATATATTATGAACTAGTTAAGGGATGGATATGTAACAAGGATGTTGAGTCCCAGACCAACCTTAATTCCAAGAGATGAGTCAAGAGGAAGAAAGGGAAGTGCAACATCATATGACATGTTACGAACCAACAAATAAGGCAACCACCCTGGAGAACCCAAATCACCTACTTATAGACTGGGGTTGTTTGTTGAAGTGTTTGTAGCATCGAGAAAGGGGGGGCATAGCGCATCCATCGTAGGGTAGCCAGGATTGCAATTGGTGCAGCCGTGGTACGCGGTAAAACCAAGGTCCAGCCCATTCATCATATCGCACTGGGTGACGTCCCGGTTGTTGAACATCCTCGTCGTTTACCGTTTACGATCTACGGCTTGATAGCTTCTTTTATCAGGTTGGTATTAAGGAGGTTATGCACGTTATATATGAAGCATCTTCTTACTTACTGCAAATTGTTTATTTATAAAGTTGGTCCTAGAATTAGGCTATGGTCCTCATTTCGCCCCTTCGTAACGTAACGACATAACGGAGGCGGTAGTCGAAGAGGTGCCGTACCAACAAACGGACGGGCTGGGGCTTTGGTGTTCCTTGGTGGCCGTGGAATTCTATAGCCGATATGTCCCTTTGTCCAGAGGGTTGCGATTAACGAAAACAGCAATAGGTGTGTACTTAGGTATGGTGTATTTAGCTTTCGAAGTGAGGCCCGTTTTACGTTACCATGTCCGAAATAGCTATTCATGGTTATTCCGGTTAATCAGAAGGGGACAACTTTCCAATACGGGGACGGGGCTGGGTTATTACTTTACTACGGTGAAGGCCAACGTACTACAAACGTACCTAAATATAGCGACGACTGGCCCAATAGAATAGGAACCAGATACGCCCGGAACAGGTGATGGGACCACCTTGCCACCTAAGCCTTGTAGAAATTTTCTCTGCTGCGACTATTTTCTCTCTCTTCTTACTGGGGGGTGAATGTGACAGGATTGATAGTAAGATTCCGATAGAGGATGACGGCCTTAGTATGAAGAGTACCTGGTAATATGTTACTTTATAGGCTACGATCCTGACAATCTGGATATGCTATTATAAATGGCAGGGACTGTCATGTGATATGCCACGTCGAGAGTAAGGACTTATTGTCGAAATAATAATAAAAAGGTATATAGATATCTGATTCTATGTCTCTATAATGAAAATAATCTTTGAGCCTACTATTTTAGCTCGGAGAGTGGCCTAGGGGCTGTAAGGCCTTGGACGAATAATATCTTTTGATTTGATCATAGTTATTGTTATGTTTTGGCATATAATTACTTATTACCTTCAAATCCCCTATTGTAGGCCTGTGGGTAAAATAAGGGTATAATAATTATGATACATGTCCAGGTAGATAAACCATTTTTGGTCTAGGCCAAGATCGTCCCATTTATGGCATCAAAAGATGGGATTTGTACTGTATTCATATTATATACCTATTTATACCTAAACTTCTTTAGGTATTTATATTCCCTCGTTTAAACCAACACATAGAAATTCTGAATGTTAGGTACCAAAAGTAATTATAGTAATAATTATCCTATATAATGGAGAATATTTAGCTAAAATAAAGCCTTGGAAAGAATGTACCAAATTTGTCTGGCGCTTTGAAGAGAATGCCAGGTATGGGAGGAGCTTCTGTAGCAGGAAGAAAAGAAAACAAAATTAAAAGCTGATATATTATTAATTCTTTTTTTTTTAAAAAGGTGATAAGAATTTCTAACCGAAAAACCTAATTATATAGCTCCTTTTACTACATTATAAAGATGAGAGCAAATAAGGATATATTGTTTATTATATTTAATACAGTTTCTTTGACTTTTCTTAACCCTTGTCTCTTATACATATAATAGAGCCCCTTCATTTGGAGAGGAACCTTGCCGAATAGCCGACAAGTATATTTACTTTCCTTTCAAGTAACCTTCCCTTTACCTCTACTATATCCCTAATAGAAACAACAAGGGATGCTTGGCCAAGGGTTTATGCGATGGTATGTGCCCGATGTAATGCAATATTTGCTACTATTTGTTACCATAGTAAAGTCCTTCCCAAGTCTAGCGCGACCATACCTAGGTACCTAAGCTTAGTCAACCAATATACTTAATTTTCAAATTTGGCCTTAATTACTTACCCATCTCTAGTAGGTATGCTTCCGACCTACGTGCTTCCCTTCACCAATGCTTCCTTTGGCTAAACTATATATATAGATGTTAAAGTTCCTATAATCATATTTCTCCTGAACTTGGGTGGCCGAGATAGATAAGGTAAGAAAGCAAAGTAGGGTAACTAACAGAAATCATCGTAGTGTGATGCCGCCGCGAGCACGATCCGACTGTAAAATTTGGAGTAGCCCTACAACAGCATCCACACCGCGGCACCGGTCGCGGCCAAATTATCCGATGACGTGGGTTCGAATAGGCCGTCACTTAAATTGATGGTATGTATGGAAATAGGCAACATCAGTGCTAAGCAAGCCAAGTGGCAACTAGGAAGTATGTTTTTGTGAATTTGTATATGGCTATGGTCTCAATCTCAAGACGGGGCCCGTGAATTCAAAAACAGGCATATAAGAGAATATCTTACTAGCACAGCCAGTTTCCACTACTATTACATACCTTTGTTAATAAAGCCGACGCCTTAGTAATTAATTACTTGCCTTGATCTTCTTTTCGATCTTAAAATGACTTTGCTTTAGGACCTGAATAACGTCCAAGGTTAATACAAAACAAGAACCGGAAAAAACTATATTAAAAACTATATATTTTATTAAACCTTTTTTGATATATTTAATTAATTAATAATTAATTATAATAATCTAAATATTTTCATGGTTAATAAATTATAATGGCTGATAATTCGAAACTTCGATTCCCAAACGAAATCAATATGATGATTGCTTGCGATATAGGCGACATTGGTATGCTTATTGTTGCTGTGCAGAATGGATTGCCGGTGCCGGATGACCTAGTCGACATCTAAACAATACAGTCGGGACCCTCGTTACCGCTAACTAGCATAGCTCCCTAGTCCATCCCATATCATTAGCGAAAAATCGGCTTATACGCCAGCGTTTCGTTGACGTCGACCATACCTTCGTCGTCTTTTTCGGATGCTGTGTTCCCTGCAGCAGCTACCAAGTCGAACATAGAGCTACCGGAAACCGGGTCAAGGTCGGAGATGTTCATGTCTGCATCTTTCGCGCTATTTACTATCTCCTTTTCATATTCGGGAACAATGCCGAACTGATGTAACGTCTCATCGTAAGTGAGCCACTTGCCGAGCTTCGTAATCCGACAAGCTAGCCACAGGATTCTCTCCTTGCGGTCGTCTGTCATAGAGGTGACTTCAAAATACTTCTCATCATTGTCGATCTTATCGTTGCTGAACCAATCTACTGGAAAGTACTTATCTACCTAGATAAGGCCCTTCATGGCAAAATCCTCTGGCAGCGGACGAGGGGCAAGTTCTTTGTCCTGTCTAGGGAACTGTTCATCATGTATTTTATGATGTTCTCTACAGGAGAGGAGTAGGGAGTTGAGTTGGAGCGAGATTAGTTTCCAGGGGATTGTCTTCTCAATGAAGGACATTGCACTTAGGTAATATGTGAGGTGAAATATGAAAACCATAATGACGTGAAGAAATGGGAGGGTCTATAAAATGTTCTGTTAGTTGAAAAGACCATTTAGACCTATGAATACCACTTATATTAAGGTCATCTAATCTGCACAAGACGACGTCACAGGTGCCTTCAAAGAGCCTTAGCGCACCTTCTTCTGTCCTACTTGGCTTATATAAGGCCAGGGAGTTTTCAGTAATCAGCTCGGCTATGTCCTCCACATGGGGGTGGAATCCCTTTAGAAGAATATTATCTTCTTGGCCATATGACAAAAGGGCACAGCAGTTCGAGACAGCGATATAGTAGCTATTTCTGTCTTAGTATATCATAGCCCATTTAAAGCACAATTATAGGGGTCAAACGCACCCTGATTCCATCCACTTCCTAGTGGTTCGGCCAATATAGTTATCTAACATACTACAGAACTTATCAACTGTTGGAAGGAAGTCGTCGGTGTATTTATTGCTAAACAAGATCCCATGCGCCTTTACGAAGGCCACATCAATCGTGATCAACCGAGAATGTTGAATATTAGTGGGGTCCAGAATAGGGTCGAATAGAGTCATAATTGACTCCCGTGTTGAGCTAAATGGAATGGGCATGCAAAGGGATTTAATATAATAATATAGTTGTTGAAGGGGATCTGGCTGGGCAAGGATTGCAAGATGATGATAAAGTCTTCCTGTAGTAGGTGTCTTATTAGACGCTTTCGAGTACCAGTACCGGGACACGGATGTCCAAACCTCTCTGTCCTGGATATCATTGTCTTCAATTGCCATTCTATATCATCCATTGTAAGCATTCTGCAAGGACTATTCTACCATCCTTTACTGACCTATATCTTCCCAAATCTCCTAAGCATTCTATTCATGTATCTTCAAAAGCGGGGACCGTTTTATATAAAAGTGTCATCATTGAATATGCCAAGTAGATGAAGGTAAGCATATGCTCTAAAGAATGAGGTAGGTGATGGCGTAGTAGCTCGAGGAAGGAATGTATACCATGCCTCCATATCCTCGCCGGCATGGCATATTTAGACGCTAACCGTCTCAGCACCTGGCTAGCCGACGGATGTTGCGAGGCGAGAAAAAAATCGTGATGCTCATGAAGCAGCGTCCTGTGTAGTGCGATTAATGCCTGCCACTACTCGTTGTTGAGTTTCGTCTCGTTTTGTGTTAACTGGGCGTTATCGACCTCGATACACTTATGCTCCACCATAACAAGCCCTGCGTATATGCCTTTAACCTCAGTAATCAACTGTTCTTGACTAATTGGTCGGGTTTCTGGTTGTTTAATTAGTTTAAGAGATTCAGAATCTTCCTCTGCAGGCGGGCTAGGGTCCCTAGATTGTCTTGGGGCTGGAGCGGGAGGGGCCTTTGGCCGCGGTGAAGCGCCGTCCGGGTTCAAAAGCGTGCCCGATTGTGGAGCTGTATCTACCCTTTACTGGGTGTCAGCTGGCTGAGATAAGGTGATTGAGGCAAAACTTACCTTCTCGTGGCCACAGTGCTACCGGTTCTAACCTCTCGAATAAATAAAGAAACGTCTTTTTGCTCTAAGAGATCCTGATGACGTGATTGCAGATGATTTTGTATCCTATCATTAATGGCAGGAAATTGGTCTTCACAACCTGGGAAGGGACACGAAAGTTTGGAGGCCTTTCGGAGGTAATTTGTGAAGGAAGCGGCAACGTCTTTCTGAGGCATTCTGACAGAAATAAAATACTATATAGTCTAATAAGATATTGTAAATGCTAGATCTATAAGAGGTAGTTTGATAAGGATAGCAGATCTTTAAAAAAGAATATAAGTATTTTTGCTATATAAGATTTATTAACTTGATAAGGAGGGGTCAGTCAGAATGAATTACCTATCATTTACCTATGAGAAGTATTGCAGCAGAAACCTTTATAGATTATGGGGGTAGCAACGTTGGGGATGGCATCGGGAGTTGCATATGAATGAACCTGAATGGTAATATTAAGGGTCACATTAAGTTTGTTTTAAAAAATGATAAACCCAATACATAATTTTAATCCCCACATCGTAATGTAATTTGGTAACTGCCTATAAAAAATTCAAGTTTAAAAATTAACATGAGAATTGAATAATAAAATAGGTACGAACCAAACAGCATAGATATATTCCTTCTCTGTTTGTACCTTTGGGATTTAGGTGTTTAGGGGTTTAGTGTGTTGTTCAGTATGTTTGGTGTGTTTAGTTGTGTTTAGTGTGTTGTAAGTGAAATGGTTATAAGCAAATAGGTGTGCAAAATATGGCTTCCCACTTAGGGTTGTGGTATAATTCTAACATTAGTAACAAAATCTAATGTATTGACTGAATTGGACATGACAAGGAGGCATTAAATTTATGGTGGGAGGTATAATAGTAGGAATATGCATGTTAGGGATAAAGAATAGCCTAATGGTCAATCTATTTACGCATTACCAAAGAATAATAGAGGTAACCCTGGTTTCTTACAAGTATGATTCTGTAAGTTTTCATTGAAATAATTGATGAGGTTCTGGATAACATCTATTAAAAAGTTCTGGGAACCGCGAATGCTGCTCCTTTAATGTTTTTCATCCGCATGAGGAGCCTTGTAAACGGTTCGTGGATAGATTTATGTGCGGTATAAGCAAGACTAAAATTTATTGTATATTTCTGGCCTCTTTTAGACAAAAGTTGCCTTATGGTTTGCGGCCGTGGTTCGCATGCGGCTCAACGGAATACCCACTACCTAGGGAAGCCCACCACTCCCAAATGTCCTGGCAGTCAACCCAGCCGTCTCTACTCTTTTGACACTGATATATTCTCAACAGCGCAGTATTGTCACGACTCAATTGCAACTAATAATCAAACCAATGTCTTTCTCATGTATATTCTATCCCTTCTATAATAATCATTCAGGCTTCGGTGTAAATACCAAATTCCTAATTCATAAATAATAGAATCTTTTGTTGCAAATGACATTATAGGAAATTATAAAGGCAAATATTGTAAGAGTCATAATCTTGTTGTTGCAAATGATTGCCTAAAAGGTGTTTAAAATAAGCAGATTATTATAAATAATTAAAGGTGAGAATAAGATAAGATTATCCCTATATATAAATATATAATATCTTCAAGTAAATAGTTAATATTATCGTACCGGTATATTCAGATTCCGAAATAAATATAACATTATATAAATCCGCCGAAACCCTTGAATGACTCAGCCTCAGGATAAATTGCCAGGGAAACAAATAGCAACAAAGCCCTAGACCCTATTTGCCTAGGACGCAACAAAGATAGTGATATGCCGTAATGCCCGAACCTAAAGAAAAGGTAACGCGGCTCTCTACGAAATGGGGCGAGTTTAGATGTAATTTTAATGTGCGTCTACGGGTCACATGTATAAAATAAGGATACTATCCTATAAACACCTGCAGGAACAGGCTTTATCTAACCAGTCCGATACTGATGTTGCTTACGT